TGAAGGTTGGATTGTTTGAATTAGAATAATTCATCGAAATCCGCATTTTAGCCTACTTGCGAGTAGCAAACCTCAAATCATTTCCAAACAGTGGATATACGATGTTTCGTTCCAAATTAGGCAATCTAGTCTATACTTTTGTGTTGTGCGCATCACATAGTAAGATTATCTAATTAATCAGCCAATGCTGTCTGTAGGCTTTGCCAGAATCTCGATGTAAACTTCAAGTCCCTATCAGAAACAATGGACACAGGCACTCCATGCAATCTAACAATCTCATCAATATAGATTACAGCCAATTTGTCCGCATTGTAAATTGTTTTGACAGGTAAAAATGAGCAAATTTAGTCAATCTATCAACAATAACCCAAATTGAATCCATACTTTTACTGGAGCGAGGTAAACCAACAATAAAATCCATGTTAATATGTTCCCATTTCCACTCCGGTATCGGTAAGGGTTGCAGTAAACCTGCGGGTCGTTGATGTTCGGCTTTAACTTGTTGGCAATGAAAACATTTTGACACAAACTCAGCAATTTCTTTCTTCATTCCTGGCCACCAGAAATTCAATTGCAAGTCTTGATACATTTTCGTGTTTCCTGGATGGATAGACAATTTTGAACTGTGACCTTCTTGCAGAATTCTTCTTTTCAATTCAGAATCATTCGGTACACACAATCTTCCCTGAAATTTCAACACATTACTTCCAAATTTGAAATTCGGCTTCGGTTTGGATTCCCGTTCTTCAATGATCTTCTTCAAGAAGTCATCCTGTTGCTGTTTCTCTTTAATTTCTTCAATCTGTGTCAGTTGAATAGAAATAGCAACTATTGTTCCACCTTGTTCTCGCAAAACAATCTCAATTTCAGATTTCTCAAGGTCACAAAGCAACTCTTTTTGTCCGGTGAGTGAACAGGCTAAGTTTCCAATCGATTGCCGACTCAGTGCATCGGCAACGGTGTTAGCTTTTTCCGGATGATACAAAATCTGTAGATCATAATCTTTTATCAGTTCTAACCATCTCCGCTACCTCATATTCAGTTCTTTCTGTGTGAAGAAGTATTTCAAACTCTTGTGGTCTGTATACACCTCACATGTTGCCCCATAAAGGTAGTGACGCCAGATTTTAAGTGCAAACACTACTGCAGCAAGTTCTAAATCATGGGTCGGGTAGTTCTTTCATGCAGTCTCAGTTGTCGGGAAGCATAGGCAATAACTCTCCTATTCTGCATTAAAACACATCCCAAACCTTTATGAGAAGCATCACTAAAAATGGTAAAACCATCCGTACCTGAAGGTAGGGTAAGAATCGGTGCAGTCACAAGTCGAGTTTTCAACTCTTGGAATGCTGATTCTCTACTAATAACATGTCCCAAAAACATAACATGATCAAGCAAAAATTCACATTTACTCAATTTCGCATACAGTTTCTGTTCTCTTAGGGTCTGTAAGGCAAGTCTCAGATGATGTTCATGTTCTTCTCTACTTTTAGAATAAATCAGAATGTCGTCTATAAATACAACAATAAAGTCATCAAGGAATGGTTTAAAAATTCTGTTCATAAGGTCCATAAATGCAGCAGGTGCATTGGTAACTCCGAAAGGCATAACTAGGAATTCGTAATGTCCATACTTCGTTCGAAAAGCAGTTTTGTCAATGTCCTCTGGTTTAACTTTCAGCTGATGATATCCGGATCTGAGATCAATCTTAGAGAACACTTGAGCACCCTGTAACTGATCAAATAAGTCATCAATACGCGGTAATGG